TATCGCGCGTACTATGCGCCGATGTCAGAGTTGGGTGTAGAAATCCAAGGGTGGTCACACTCGGACCTGGCATGATGGTATGAAAACCCTATTTAGGTCACTTACTTGGATAGGCTTTGTTAGGCTTATATATGTCTGTACACACGTCTGACACAATTCTGTGTGCCAAACATGTCATGGTACAATAATCTTTATAAAAAAGAAAAATATCCCATGATTTGCATCTGGGAGGAATACTGCCAGGTTGCCCGGGCCAAGGCAGGTGAATTTGAGGAATTCACAACCGCAGCCTTTGGCTAATCAAAGCCTGACACGCAAGGCAGCGGGGCGGTGTGCAAAAACCGCATTCCATTGGGGGCCGGTGCCCAGTTCGTCGGATCATACACCCTTTGGACGGGGTCAGACATCCAAGGTGCCCAACACACCTTGATGCCCAATAGAGCCGGTGACCACTGCCACAACTGGGAAGGTGTGTTTTCGTACGCATCCTTTTGGTTGGTTTGGAATCGGAGTTTTTGGCCAACTCCCCTAGGTGAACCACCAGTGGTCCACTAACCCGGTTATAGCCCCTGATATCGGCTATTCGTCCTCTCACTTTGGTGGAAAAGCACCTCCGCCACGAGAAGGCAGTGAGTAGGGCTTCCTCAGCAGAGGCTATTTGAGACGCTTGGTCGAACGGGAGCATTTCGCGAGGTGCAAGAGAAGGATGATCAGCCGCAACCCTAGACACCCACCCCCGGCCATACTGAGGCTTGCGGAGGCTGCGTTAAGCTTCCTGGAATGGGGACATCGGGATCAGCGTAATCAATGGTTAGAGGCACTGAGTGATATGGCTGAATGTTGCAAACATTGGAGATCATGCATCTACTCGTTATCCCTGCAACAACATCATAATCATGGTACAGCGTAATACAGGGAAGCAAACTTCGCCCATTGCCGCCAAACTCAATGCATCCAAGGTAAGTGAGCATGTGCACGGAGGATAAGGATTAGACCTGGTTTTAGGGACAGGGAAAGAAAGCGAACCTCCATGGTCAACACACAGGGGGCACAGTCCAAATATGCATGCAGACTAGCTCAAGCATTCTGGTACTATAAGAAGTGACAGCAAGATCACCGCTGCTGTCGGTTTGCTCTCATGACCTTCAGTGTCCCCAACGATCCCGGGAGACGAAAGAC